TCTCTCTCTCTCTCTCTCTCTCTCTCTCTCTCTCTCTCTCTCTCTCTCTCTCTCTCTCTCTCTCTTCCTCTCTCTCTCTCTCTCTTTCTTCCTCTCTCAGTGTTCATTCTTCGATGTTTGCCACAGCGCGACTGATTGCTTTGAATTATATCTCTTTAAGTTGTTTTTGCAGAAAGTAGAGGCTGTGACTTGCACATTTACAGAAGGATTCTCATGAAACTCTTCTTCGTCTCTCCTATTTCTTCTTCTTCTTCTTCCTCTCTCTCTCTCTCTCTAAATGTTCTTTGTGTAAAAAGAAAAATGAATCTTGTGTCAGGGCAAACTGGGAAGGATTTTATGAAAGTAGTAAGTTTGGTAAATAAATAGTTAAACGTCTTCTCTCTGTCTCAGTTATAGTCCTATAACACTTTGTCTCTTCTTCGACTTTTCAGAGTTAAAGCCCTTTACCACTTTATCTAATAATCGTCTTTGTGACGCCTGCGTTGCCTTCCCCGAACTCGTTCAGTCAATCAAAACAGAAAATTTGGGGAAGAATGAACTGAAGATTCTACGACGTTAGTGGACTCACTTTTCTGAGTTATAGCCCTATAACACTTTGTCTAATAATCGTCTTCGACTCCTCAGAGTAAAAGCCCTTTAACACTTTAACTCTTAGCCGTCTTTGATTTTAAGGCCCTTGTTATTAGTGACGTCTGCGTTGCCTTGCCCAAACTTCGAATGTTATCATGCACAACACTTGTGGACTGACTTTCCTGAGTTATAGCCCTATAACACTTTGTCTAATCATTGCTTTCGATTTTAAGGCTCTTCATCGCGCTTTGTCTCTTTTCTTTAACATGTTTTGACAAAGTAACCGCTTGTTTTGTTATTTGCGCAGAAATGTTTGGCAAGGCACTAGAGAAGCACCGGTTAATGCAAGGAGAAGAGAGACAAAAACTCTGTAAGCACCGCCACAAGGCTTCAAGTCATCCGTCAGAGTATGTCGCAATGATCATTGATGGGATGGATCAGAGCAAGACTATACTACCACACTTCACTAGGGTTCCAAAAAATTTGAAACTAAAAGAAGGGAACATTGTGAAAGTTCACGTGGTTGGGGCTAAGATGCTAGGACTCTCATCGAACGCCTCTGCAACTGTTTTCTTTGACAACTTCAAGTCAGATTCTAATTGCATGCTAACTGTTCTTCATCGTCAGATTTCTCAACTTCCTGTACCATTTTCGAGAGTCCTATATCTTACACTTGATAACACTTCGAAAGAGAACAAGAACAAATTTGTGTTGTCATATCTCGTGTTATTGGTGAAAATGAGAGTGTTTAGTAAAGTTCAGTTAAACTTTCTTCTTGTAGGTCACACGCACGAGGAGATCGACCAGATGTTAAGTTGTTTCTCGAGAAAGCTAGCTGCACATGGTGCGTTCGATCTTCCTGAGTTGCAACACGTGATTAGGGAGTCGTACAAGGTAGAACAAGATCATGGCGTGCACGTTGAGGAGATGACGGAAACAATGGACAGAAAGTTGTACGTTCAGGATCATCTACATAATGTCAATGATATTAGCTTCAACCAACATTTCCGAATCAAGCGCAACGACAACGGGGAGGTGCGCATTTGGAGCAAGCAATATCATAACTCGCAGTGGTAGCCGAACGAGAGAGAAGGTCTGGACATCTTCAAGTCAGAGCCAACAGGACAAGTTCAAGCTTCGCCAAAGTATGCAATCCGATCTTTGGAAGCAAGATATCGACTTACTTGTCGCGGTGAGGACAAGAGGCGTGATAAGGTCGTCAGCAGTGAAGGTCATGTCCATAATCGAAAAGCGGGAGGATCTTCGAAATTCAAGGTTGACGATGATGCACTTTCCATCGCCGCCTTGAAAACCAACGTACATGCCCTATCGCATTACGCTCAACCCCACAACATTGAATGGTGGAATAAGTTAATAGCAACGCAGGAAACTCTCGACCTTGAGGACACAAACCTCAAAGAGCCTTTCGCGTGGCCCTCTGTAACAGCTGATATCAGCAGAGCAGGTGAAGAAGTTCCACCAACCGCTAACGGCTTTAACCAACGTTGGGATGATCTGTTCTCTCCTGAGAGACCCATCTACATCGGCGCACGAAAGAGCAGACAGTTTCGAGAGGACAGAGACGGAAAGTACAACGATCTCGAGGTCAACACTTTCATCGCATTACGAGCTTGTTCGGGGCAGGAAGAGAGAGACAAACCTTGCCACATTGGCAAGGTTGTCGAGCTGCTAGCAGGTAAACGATTCAAAGTTGCTTGGTTTGCACAACGTGAGAAAGGAGAGGGTTACTATCCTCAGTTCAAGACAAATCCTCAAGGAAATACTACGAGAGAGCCTTTCGAGTACGTCTATGACTGGAGTTGCGGCGTTCTTTGTTACAACTTCCAACTGAAGACAGACAGGACCCTCTTCTCGCAGACCAGATAAAAGATCTCTGAGATGTTAAATTCCATGGCAACGGAGGATGTCGACTAGGAAGACCTTCTAGGAACCGATTGCTTCGGAGGTTGGCAGAGTGTCATCGAGATCGAGGTCATTTCTGCTCCCGCATTAGATTAGGTTTCCTTTTGTCGCTGTTCAACAGATTATCTGAGTCTAGTCGTTAGCGGCTTGTAAATGCTTGTAAATATGTACAACAGTAGGTTGCAGTTCGCAGTCAGGCACGTGGGGCCAACCTTTTTGTTATCCAAATCTAGTCGTTAGAGGCTTGTAAATTCTTGTAAATTTGTACAACAGTAGGTCGCAGTTCGCAGCCAGGCACGTGTGGCCAACCTTTTTGTTTTCACGATCTTTTCCAAATGTACTTTGCGGTTTTTCACTTTACAATTTTGAGATTTTGAAAATTGACTAACGATTTGCCGTTTGGGTTCCGACTTTTCAATTTGCGGTTTGTCATTCATTTTTTGACCAAAACATTTGTCACATGAACAATTGTCGATTTGCGGTTTGTCATTCAAACTCTCACGACATTACGCTCTTTTCTATTTCCCGCAAAGTCGTGTTAAAGGCCTACAAGGTCGTGTTCGAATTTCATTGAATTTTTACAACATTCAACATTACGCTTATAGCGCTTCAAACACCTCACCAATTACGGAATAAAAATTTTACGCCCGCCAAGCTTCATGTCAAATTCTCGCGAAATTATGTTATTTTTCTACTTCCCTAAAATTCGCGTTATAGGCCTATAAGGTCGTGTTCGAATTTCGTGGAATTTTAACGACTTTTAACACTGTGTTTTTTGGGCTTTAAATACTCGACTGATAATGGACTAAAATTATGCACTTTTTGTACTTTCCCAAAATTCGCATTATAGGCCTATAAGGTCGTGTTTGAATTTCGCTCAATTTCCGTGATGTTGAACATTGCGTTTATACGACTATAAACACTTGACCGATTGCGGACTAAAATTATTCTATCCGTGTTTCGTTTTCAAAGAGTCGTTATAGGCCTATAACTCGAAAAGTGCGTTTTCCGAATTTCGAGAGAATTTCCCAGGGTCTCTTTCAAATCTTGCGAGATTCGGCTCTTTTCTGCATTTGCGCAAATTCGAGTTATAGGTCTATAAGATCGTGTTTGGAAGTCGTTGAATTTCCGTGACGGTCGAATATGGTCAATTTGGCTGTCCACAACTTTTAGAGATTCGAAATCAGTTGTCGTTGGCTGTTTTTTGCTTTCGTCTGCATCCCGTTTTTTTACTACCTTCGTTTCAAGCTTCTATTTCCTTAGTATTATGAGTGCAAAGAAAGAGGCTTTGTTCGCCTTGCCAGGTTTTCGGTTAGTTTTTACGTCCTTGGATCAGGTTCCGGCAAAGGCTCTTCTGTTTTGAAACAAAATACTACTTCCAGTGTAAAGTACTGACTGGTCGTTTCGTTATGCACTGAAATCTCCATAAATTGAAGATCTTTTCGTCGGCCATGAGTAGGAGTCGCTTGTTCGCCTCCAAAATGGGCTTTTTTTTCCACGTTGTAGTCGGCCTCGTATATTTACTGATTTTTAGGGGGGGGGTCGATGACATTTGCGCACGAAACGGTGCAAAATCCACCTTTACTTCTAGAAAAATGCTATGTTCTATTGACGTTTTTCTGTCTATAGGATTTCTCTGGGTTTGGTCTGTTTCTCTGGTTTTCACGAATCCATTATTACACATGGACCACAACAGATGCGGTGCCAACGTACGGGTGAGCACCGCCGGTGTGGGCCGCTCGTCACAACGGGAAAGGATGTCTAGAGGCAGATCATTAAGGAGCTGTGACAGGAACATCAGGACTTCACTCGTGATTGGTTCCAGATGGTCGTCCCTCACCTTCTCGAACAGAATCCCCAACAACTCCCCCTCTGTATCCGTTCTCCACGCTTGGACTATCAACAACTCCATGTCATTAGCGGGGACTTCGTTTACTTCATCCTTGTTACCCAACGAAACCTATCAACTAATTGCGGACATCCTGATTGAATATCAGGATGCGATTAGCATAACGGATACGGATATTGGATTATCCTTAGTTATTCAACACGAGATTCAGACCGGAATGCATCCCCCGATCCAGTGTAAGCCATACCGATATTCTCTCGCAGAAAGAAAAGTTGTGCTACAAAGGATCAGGGAGTTTGAGGCTAACGGATGGATCGAACCAGCAACAGGACCTTGGTTATTTCCCGTGGTCTTAGTCCCGAAAAAGAGTGGGTCGATTCGCATTTGCATTGATTACCGAAAATTGAATGATATCACGATCAAGGATGTATATCCCCTTCCCCGGATTGATGATTTGTTGGATGCGATTGGGTGTGCGAATTATTTTACTTCTGAGTCTGATATTCGCCACATATTTCATCACATCTTGGTTAGAGAGGAGGATCGGCCGAATACGACCTTTGTATTGTTTGAGGGCACCTGGTAGTGGATTCGTTGTCCAATGGGAATCTGCAAGGCACCAGCCACGTTCCAAAGGGCGATGAATGTGACATTTCAGAATTTCATTAACAAGACCCGATTGATGCAAGGGATGATTAATTTCTGCGTTATCGTGTACATGGATGATATCCTAGTCTATTCGGAATCATTTCACGGGCATGCGCAACATATTGAATGGACGCTGGGGGCACTACGAGACCGTGACGCTGGGTTCAAAATTGCACTAGAAAAAAGCGAGTTCTGCCTCTCGAAAATCTCGTTTGTGGGTTACATAGTAACGCGAGGCGGGTTGAGGCCAGATTCGAGAAAGGTCGCGGTTGTCCGAGAGGCTCCCACGCCTACGTCACTGACACAGGTTCATGCCTTTTTGGGACTGGCGTTGTACTACCGCAGATTTATCAAGGGTTTCGCGGCGATCGCACAACCTCTAATGAATCTTCTGCGTAAGGACCAGCCCCTACGGTGGAACACTGAGTGCGAGCAGGCCTTTGTCACCTTGAAGGAGGCCCTGGTTACTTCGCCTATTTTGATCCGGCCGGATCCGCAAAAGCAGTTCATACTCATTACGAAATGGCAACCTGAAGCGATCTCTTCTATTTTAGCCCAGAAGGGGAAAGACAGTCGTGAACACGTCATTGAGTACGCTTCTCGGACATTGCCTGACGAAAGGAGAAACAATTCAGCTCCTTAGGGAGAGTGTTACGCAGTGGTTCGGGGAATTCAATATTTCCATCCGTATCTTTACGGACAGAAGTTCCTCCTCATCACGGATCATGAGCCCTTGTTGGCCCTCAGGAGGCTCACCAACGGGTATGATTGGACGCTGGGCTGCACGGCTGCAAGAGTACGACTTCGATATCGTCCACCGGAAGACGGAGAAGCACGGGAACGTTGACGGCTTGACACGTCTGCATCGACCTAGCAGGGTGATTAAAAGTAAGGAGATTACCCCGTGGAAGGAACCAAAACCAACCAAGGAGCGTTCATACGGACAGGTGGCCATCCTTCCTCGAGCTCCTACGGGGTGATCGACACGATGGCGATGGGGCGCTGTCGTGGCAAACACCCTTACAAGGGTATTTGCCGTCCTTTTTCAAGGTCGCACCGGGCGCGTCCTTGATCAACGAAACGCGCTAATGAGGTAAAACCCGTCAGGACGCTCACCCGGACAACCTCGCTCTTGGTGAGACTCTGAGTCGAATACGGCCAGATTAAAGAGTATGTGGGGCACGCATTACTTCGTTGCACGGTGAGATAGTCGTTAGTCATCGGCAATACCAGGCCGGCGGAAGACGTCGAAGCCATAGGGCCCGGTTACTCTCCCTTCTGTAGGTTTTATTGTTGATTATATTTTTCTTTTATTTTATAAAGACCAACTTTACTTCGCAACTAGTTCCGCCTCTGGGGGGGCATGACGCGAAAATGATAAAAACTTTACCTTGCGCACACGCATGAAGTGTGTGTTTGGCGACACATGGAAAGGCGCGGCATTGGCAAGCCTAGTATGAGGGAAAGTCGAAAGTTTGACAAACAATGTCGAGCCCCTGACGACCAGGAGGTTGGCTGGTAGGCCAAGGCGGAGGCCTGGTTTGTGCTGGAGGGTCCAATCACGGTCCCATAACTATTAATACGCAGGCTCACTCCTACCTAACTTAGCCTTCGGCCCAGTTCTAATGGTTACGGTACTGGACTTTTAAATAATAGGCTCGGGGTTCAAGGCTAGGCACGTAGCAATGGAGCAGATGAGCGCGACGGGCAGAGACTGAGGGGTTGAGAGTCCTTAGGGACTGTCCCTCTTGGTTTTTGCCGGAGGGGTCAAGGTCCGGGTCCGACTGGCGAAACCAAGAAGGTGTCAGCGGATCCTCGACGTCGTCATCTCTACTGATTTTTATTTTTGACATGTGTTTTCTTTTTCTTTTATTTTTATTTTTCTCCTCTCTTAGAAGTCCCGTCTTGAACCAAGTCGAAAAACTGGCTCTGGGACCGATGGCGAAGAAGAACCACGAAGAAAGAACAGGGGATTCGTGAAAACCTCACAATCGGAGAAAGCCTAACATTTCTTATAGAATGAAAAAGTAGAAGTCAAACTATAATTTTTTACACAAAAAGAGAGCGTTTTTAATCGTTTTGCGATAAAGGAGGCAAAAAATCAGGTGAAAAGTCTAGCGTTCCTCAAAATGTGCAAAAAAACCTTCCTTGCAAAATGTTTTTATATGGCTATAAGTTATTCTCAGCAGATTGGCAAAAAAATAGAGTTCAAACAGGGTAATTTTTAAGGATGACAGGGCAAACTTGAAAGATGTAAAAAAAAAACGTGTTTTGATAAATACTCATTTATAGGACTATAAGTCAGTTTCCGCAGTTAGGTAAAAGCCAAACTCTGCACAAAATAATTTATAGGACTATAAATCACTTTTGAACTTAACAATAAAACCCTTATCAAAAAATATATGTCATTTAAAATAAGAATACAAACAACTTTTGCCTCGAAGACACCTTGAAATTCTTAGCCAAACACGAGTTTAAAATAAAATATAGGAAAAAAAAAAAAAAAACAATAAAAAATAATATATTCGCCCATATATGGGAAACCATGTTCAAGCGAACGTATTCAGGAACAGGAGAATATGTTTGCACGTTCGGAAAACCCCCGAATAAATTTATCGTGCTACACATCTTATAGGACTATAAACACAATTTTTTTGGATAACAAAAAATCAGGATATTTCAGTTCTTGAACCTACTGTGCTTCATCAGGTCGTGATTTTCTATGAAAAAACCCGCTTTTTTCGTCGCCCCCTCCAGTAGTTCTGAAAGTTTAATTTTCTGTGCTTTTTTTTTAGGATGTTTCACTTCATGTAGAATTTTGTTCCTGGAGGAGACTTGAAAAATGTACTATCATAATCTTGAATAGATTTCGTGCAAACCTAACAATTTGTTTTGTTAGGTTTTCACGAATCCTATGTTAAAGGCAAAAAGAACTTCAAAAACAAAATTAAAGAATGCCTGAAAATTGCTGAGCGAGAAGCGGATGGAGGCAAGTTGCGCAACCGCACATGAACAGGGGCGGACGGTGACTCTGTCGCCGGCTTCGTTGACCTTGAATGAAAAGGTGAGTGCCAGCATGGGCTGCTGAGGGCGGTATTATAGTGGGGAGTGGTGGAGATCTCCACAGGTGCTCACCACGGCGGCCGAGGACCTGAGCGTGTGCCGCTCTTTGACAGACCCAGGGCCTGGTCGGGGCATTGACGGGATCCCTCTAAACTGCCCGTTTTGACACGCGGACCAAGGTGTTCAAATGCATGCGAGCAGGAGGGTGCTTAGCTCACGAGGTGGAAGAAGCCTGAGTGGCAGGATCCCTCTGCTAAAGTACCATCCGCCGACCGGGATCTGTTGTGAGAAATTTGAGTGTGAATAGGTCTGTGGGAACAACAGTTGCGGACCTAGCCCAGTTTGTACACCCGCGGACTGTTGAAAAATAGTCCTGTGGGATTTGTACTTGCGATAGCTCATATGGTACACCTGCGGACTGTTACAAAACAGTCCTGATGGATCACCACCTAAGCAAACTCGGTTGGTACACCCCCAGACTGTTGAGAAACAGGCCTGTGGGATCAGCCACCGGTCCAAGCTCAGTTAGTGCACCCCCGGACTGTCGAGAAACAGGCCTGTGGGATTAGCCAGCAAGCCTAGCCCAGCTGGTACACTCGCAGACTGTTGGAAATAGGCCTGTGGGACAAGCACTAACTGACCTAGCCCAGTTGATACACCCGCAGACTGTTGAAAAACAGTTTTGTGGGGTCACCACCTACGCGAGCTCATCTGATATATCCGTAGACTGTTGGGAACAGGTCTGTGGGACCAGCACCTGCAACCCTAGCATAGCTGGTACATCTGCAGGCTGTTGGGAACAGGTCTGTGGGACCAGCACCTG